ATCATGCATAGAATATTTGCATGGCTAGAATGATCAAGCTTGGAATTTTTAATATTCTTCATTTTTTGTAGAAGTGATTTTATTTTCAAGCAGCTGTATAGTCTTAAGAAGAGACTTTGTAATTTATGGAATTTTTGTTATTTTTGAAGTTTAAAAGGAGGAGGTTTAAGTAGCTTTAGTGATAGAATATTACGAGAAGATGATTAATGGGAATTATGACAGCCTTAATGAAGAAACTATAGAATGAGAATATAAAATGTTAAGTTTTGAATAGTTCATTTTGAATATTGAAAGATGCAGTGAAAACTAAATCTTCCAAACATAATAAAGGATGGATTATATGAAATACTAAAAAGTGCATTATCTATGCAATTCAGGATGCCTTTCAAATTTTATCCAGTTTTAAATGAATAAAGTCTTAATGCAATAAACATATTTTCATGATTATCTAGTTATCATGATCTAATAACTTGAAAGTGGAATTAAGGTATTCAATCTTAAAAATATGTTTAGAATATGCTGAATTTAGTGATAAGTTTAAAGAGAGAAGAACTTAATTTGTTTTATTGAATCTGCTCCTGATGATAATTAAAATCATTATATTCATCCAAATAGAAATAGGTAACAATATCTGATTTTGATTTTTCCCTTGCCTTCATTGATTATAGAGGGATGAAATCTATGTACTGATTTTTTGTTCTAATTCTTATATCTTTTTTTTGGATTTATAAATTAATATTCTTAGCATTAGAATCTAAAGAATAGTTCAAAAAGTTAACCATTTGAAATTTCTTTTCAAATAATTACAATATCAAATAAATTTAGTTATTAAATATATTACTAAAAATATAATTAATTCTTTATTAATCTACCTGTTTATTACAGACTCAATTAAATGATATCACTATTCTTAATAATCTGAGTATTAAAATTTTCAAATAGTTTATAAAATCATAATCACTATTGAATAGTGTTGTTATCAATAAAAAGTAAGTGTATTATTGTTTATTCAATCAATTAAATTTAATGATGAATACCCATAAACTTATATATTCATAATGATATCAGGCCTGTAAAGTCTAACATCAATATTAGTTTTTCATATTACAAAATTCTATAAATATTAAAATTCATTAATATTTTAAGATAAAATAAATGATATTACTAATAGTAATATAAGTAATAAACATATTTGCTAATTAAATATTTTACTTATACCCAACAGAAGGAGAATTTTATCAAAACTATATACGTTCTTTTATTACTAATGCTTAATTAATGTGCTAAATGTATCCTTAAGTTTCAAATTTAGAGGTTATATATTAATGCAAAGAAATATATAGAACCTAAGGGAATGGTAAAATGTTAAATATTATTATAGAATTTATATCAATGTCATCAAATAATACACATTTTGGTACTCTATCAAATGATAATGAAATAGTTATATATGAATGGAAGTATTAAATGATTCAATAACTTTGGTAAACAGTAACTATTGATCCTTCATTTAATTGGTTTAACATCGATTTGTCTTTAGATTTTTCAATTATATTAGATTGCTATTACAAAAATGAATTCTTTTTAATTAAATTAATTGATGCTTAATCAACAATAGCTTTTTAAATGTAATCATATGCACCAATTTCAACCAAAATAAATTAATTATAAATGGAAAAAATGCATTTTCAGTATATGCTTAATATTTTGAGAATTATGCAATACTTTAACTATTTTCATCATAATTTTTAAATTTAAGTAGCTTAATTAACTAATTTGTTGATTTTGATATACCAAATATTATAAGTCCCTATATTTATGCAATTACTTCCCAAGAGATTTTGTAAATATCAATCTCTTCAGATTCTCAATTTTATTTAAAATATAATTTCAGTTTAGACAATATGATTGATTTTACTATTATTAATGTTTATTACAATTTTTAAAGTTACTCCTAATGTGATCAAATATAGGTATTATATATCTAATTATCGAATTACTAATCAGATTTTATGATTGGATAATTAATGGGATGTGAAGGTAACATAATCAAGATAAGTGATAGTTGCCCATTTAAACCTTGCCAGCCTATTTAGAACATACTTTAAAATAACTAATTTATAATATATTAATCAATAAATGAATTTTGTATTTATAGCAAACAAGAAGCAGATAAATTTTACTTTTTTCAAAATAATTAAAGAAATTCCTTACTATATTTTGATTATGATAATTATTTATTTTAATTTGATGAAGAGATTGGTGTTTATTAAATTTCAGTTCCATCCATCTAAATTAACTTAACAAAATTAACAACTTTAGGAAATTTATATTATTTTAGTCTTACATGTATGAATTATGATAAAACTTTTAAAGTCTAATTAATTTTTATTTTTAAATACTAAATAATTAAGATACAAATATTTAAGTATATATATAAACTACTATTTAGTTCTATAACATCTAATTATGGGTTTAATGATTATGAATTTTCAGTTGAAGATTCTGGAAAATTGTTATTTTATGGTTATTCAGGATAATTATTAAATTATACGCTAAGCAAAATCGAACCCTATTTCAATGTTACTTAAATAACTTTTTATAAAGTAGGTGAAACCAATTAAGTTTATTAATTCAAATAAATCTTGTCAATAAATTATCCTATATAAGATGAAAAATAATATTTTATAGGTTATATTAATAACTTTATATTATTTCTTGTATATATAACTATAGCAATTAATTCTACTAATTAATTGAATTCAATACAACTAACATTTCTGTAAATGCAAATTCCTTAAAAGTTTCCTATAGCCTTTATCCTAATGTAATTATAATTGGACTAAGTGCCTAAGATACAATCTTTTTGTTTTAATATTTGATTGATAGCAATAGTATAATCAATTATTCAAATTAAACTTTTAAATAAAAATTCTCAGATTTTTTAGTAACTTATAATAGCATAATTATTCTAATGAGGAAAAAATAAGAAATTCTAATAACTACATTTAATTTTACAAATTCTTTTTCTCTTAATTAAAATTCAATAAATAAATTTTTTAAAAACATTCAATTCAATCCTGAATAAATAATTGTAAATACATAATTAATGTCATCCTTATTATTTATTAACAATATAAATGATGTCATCATCTTATCAATAAATTAAATAATTTTCCAAAACCTATATCCTTGATTAAAATTAATTTCACGATTAAATAGATAAATTTAGTCAACTAATATTTGAAATAATCATATTTATGCAATAATGAATAGAATATTTGTTTTTAAGTTTGGAATGTATAAAATTTACCATAATACTACTATATTAAGTATCTTTATAGTGTAAAATTTGATTCAAACATAACAATATAATCTGATAATCTATTCTTTATGTTACTTTTAGCAATTTCACTGTTCATGTTTATAATCCTTAATTACTATATCAAATGAGTTTATATTATATGTTATAATTAACATCGTCATTTTAATGTACTTAGTTATTATAATTAAGGGAAGGCATTATTCATGAAAAATCAATAATAATTTCTAACAACAATTTGTATAAACTTTTTGGGTTATAAAACTTTAACCTTACATATTAATTTGAAAATTAAGTCTTTAACAATTCAATAAGTTAACTTTAGCATTGAATGACACAGCAATTTATAATTAACTTATAAATTTATATTAATAAAGTTTACTAAACTCCTAATTAAACTGTTACTTTTTATGCAAATTTCATAATATTTTCATATTAAAACAATTTATAAATTGATTTAACTAATAATACTATGATTCCTTAATCTAAAAATGTCTCATATCCAATGAATTTAATTCTTGATAGATAAGTTGGATATTATAATATAAGTTAAACCTAAGGTGTCAACCAATATTGTAGTTTAAAATAATTTTTTCATAATTACAGTAAAATTCCTAATTAGAGCAATTACTCATTAATCACATCAATCAATAACGAATTTTTTGCTTTTCAGAATAACTCTTACATATAAATTGTAAATAGCGACTTAAATAATATATATAATTTAAGCTATTCAAATCTAAACTTGAGTGAATGCCTAAAATCAACCTTATCTAATTACACATTATATTCAATTTGTTAAGATAGTACTTCATAAAATAATCAAATTTCTTTTTTTAACAATATTTACTGAACTTTACTTTAAATTCTTAAGGCTATATTGCTCGAGTAGAAACTACATAACTTCCAAGAATGTTTTTAAATATTTCCAAAATAAGTAGCGTTTTCAACTAAATTTTTGTCTCAGGTTCCTTAGATTAGTAACAGTACGAACAATTGTATTGGTTAAATTAATCTAACAATGCTTTTTAGCCAATATTCAATTCAAATTATTCTTGTAAAGATTTCTCAATTTCTTAAATAGTAACAACTAGCTCTTTTATTTAATAATAACAATAAATAATTATTTTGTATATTCATTACAAAGAATAGATTTAATAACTCTATTATCTATTTTTATCAGTTGAAAATAACTAAATAACTTTACAAAATAGCGCTTTTGTAAAATAATATATTAGTAATAATGAGAATAGTCGTTCTTAATTACCTCCTTCGTTCTTTCTAATTATTTAAATATTTAAAAATAGAGCAATTATTTTATTGACTAATTTTCTTAGATAAATTTAATAATTTATTATATTAAAATTAAGTATATAAATTATATTAGTGAGATAATTGATTTTAGATAACAATAGAGTTTATTATAAACAGTACCTCTAAGAACTATTCCAAATTATGGTAATTTAAATAATACTGGTAATTCTTTTTATAAGAATGGAGTTTTGATGCAACAATTCGTATATAATCAATAAACGATTGTTGGAGTTTATTACTTGAATAATCTCTTTGATGAAAATTTAATTGAGCCTATTTTAATGCAAGGTTTATTTATTACTTCAATATCTAATTATGCAATGATTGTAGATTAAAAATACAGCATATAAAATTAATATTTTATCATGATTCAGAATAGTATTTAAATTAATATCATAAAATATTAAATATAATTTTATTTGATATTGATATTTTTATAAATTATAATTGAATTAGAGTTAGTTCAAATAAAATATCCCTTTATATTTATAATTAATCTATATATAATTACTCAATAAGTACTTGGAATGTAACATGTATTTTGAATAGGAAAACTTAAAACTAAATTAATGTTTCTATATTTTTTTCTAATGATTTATCAAATGGAACTTATAACATATTATTTTACCCTCTTTAAGTAGAAAAATCAAGTAAAAGGTGGATATATTCTCTGATTTCAATAATTGGTGTCCTATTATTATATTTTTCCATTAAAGTTAAATATAAGACAAGGAATTTAGGATATATTAAATCAGAAATTGAATTATGATA